ATTCCATCTGCCGGCCAATGTTGGCTGGCGACTCCCCGGGGGAGGGCCTTCTCTGTGGCTGCTCCGGCCCTATGGAACGATCTCCCCCTTGAGATCTGGACCCTTATTACCCTTCCGGCCTTCTGCAAAGCAACTAAGGCCTGGCTGTTCTGGCAGGCCTGGGGCTGTTGAGATATCCAAACCCATCCGATGTTATGACTGTTGCTGAATTTTTAATTGTTGTTTTTATTTTTGTACCCCCCTTCCCTTTCTTATTGTTAGCCGCCCTGAGTCTCTCGGGAGTAGAACGGCATACAAGCTAAATAAACCTAACCTAACCACCCATATTTTAAAGGAAAACAGCCTTTTTTTTTAACTGACCTTATGAGAATAGTGGGGATCCATGATCCGTGCCAGGCCAAAGTCCCCGATTTTCAGCACCAAATCTTCAGTATTAATAAAGAGGTTTGCTGGCTTGAGGTCCCTATGCAGGACGTTGGCCGAGTGAATATATTTGAGGCCACGTAGCAGCTGGTACATGAAGAGCCGGGCATGTTCTTCCAGTAAAGGCCCCTGCTCCACCAGGTTAGCCAGGTCGGTCTCCATGTACTCTTGGACAATGTAAACACAGTTCAGTTCTGTCAGAGAGCCGACGTCGTCCGTCAGCTGGCTCCCGTTGGGGCCCAGGATCTCGAAAACCTTGACAATGTTATCGTGGTCGAGTCTCCGGATAATTTTGATCTCGCGCAGGGCATGCTTGACGCTCTGAGGGTCGGAGAGGAGGATCTTCTTGACGGCCACTCTCTTGTCGCAATCGTTATCGACGGCGGAGAAAACCAAGCCGTTGCCACCAGAGCCCAGAGGTTTTAAGTCCATATACCGAGAACCTACATCGAAGCCATGAATGTTCATCAGACTTTCAAACTTCTCTGCCATTTTTTCCTCTTTAAGAAATTTCCGTCTCCTGTTTTCCTCCTCTCTTAAAAAACGGTTCCCGCTTCTACGAATCTAGAGAGATGCTTCCACTGGTGGATTGCGAGGGCCCCGTAGAAAAGACAAACGCCGGGTAGCTTCGGGATGCTCTCATTGCACGGCCAGCCAGCCAGGCCTAATGTTTTCCCCCCTTTTAGGATAAGCACTTAAGACTCTTTACAGATCACGGCGAGGAGAGAGGGAGAGAAAGAGGTCGCAGCATTCATAGTTCAGAGAGAGGTGCAGCACATCCGCAGACATGGAAAGGAAACACCAGGCAAAATCAAATGGAACGAAGTGGCATCCTACGCGCCCTTCACTCTATATACTTGTGCCAAACTGGTTGACGTTTAACAAAAATGTGAATAAATAGGCATGTAATAATAGGCTTGCGTTAACATCCTCCTCACAGTGCAGATACATTCAGTGTTGGACTGGTCCTGAGCAGCTTCATTCTAAGGTGGATGGTTTTGGTCGTCTCCGTTTTGCAGTCTAGTTCGCTACTAAGAGGAAGAGGCGGCGTTTTCTGGGTACCAGGGATGCTGTTAGTTAATGATCAGGTGGCTCCAGCTCACCACAATCACAATCAAAGCTACCATCCATCTTATTCTGTGAAAAACTGAAGAAGAAGAAAAAGAAGAAAAAAGAAGCCACGTGTAAGCAACCCAAATCATTGGACAGGCTTAAAATTTAAATTGCATAATGGTTTTACCGCAAACTAAATTATTATTTTTTAAATCGCGCGCACACAGAACTAGGCATTAGGAACCTTTTGATCTGCTGGGTAGAGCGGATCCATCACTGATGAGCCGAGGTGGCGCAGTGGTTAAATGCAGCACTGCAGGCTACTTCAGCTGACTGCAGTTCAGCAGTTTGCCTGTT